AAGGGCGCGATCCCCATCCCAACGGTCAAGAACCGCGACCAGGTCACGGATAACCTGCAGGCTTTGGGCTGGCGGTTGAGCAAGGAGGACGAGAACAGACTTGATGTGCTGGGCCTGACCAACTCGCCGGATTGGTACACTTACAGCCACTTTCAGAACTGGTGGTGGCAGCAAGGATGACGTTGCCGCTGGATTGCGTCGCGTGTATTGTCCGGTGCTGGGTTGTGGGAGGGAGGTTCAAGGTCAGGGTCATCTCGGAACCGATCACAAGCAACGACAAGATTACGAACAGACAACGATACTCAAAGTAGTGATGTGCATTCTATATGGCATTCGCCTAGCAACTCTGTTCAGACGGTACGATTACATGATCCAGACGTAGATACGGTGTGGTATCTCTTGTAGAGCACAAGGCCGCCACCCCACAGCGCGATCTATCTCGCCGGCAAGCTCATACCGGTCGTTAGTCCCAGTTATTCTGCACATCGCCCTCATAGTTATTGACAACACAGAGAGGCTAGGATTGGTCCAAATGCATGCTAAGCGTACCGTAGTGCATGCAGGATGACGTGTATTAACCCTCAGAACGGAGCGTAGTAATCCTCAAATCCACCACCGTGGACCCGGAGAAAGGCCCCCAGGTGCATCAATGCGGCTCCACCGGCATCTGTTTCCCGTACCAAAGTCTCTTTGCACTGGTCTGTTTGTATACATGTTTTGATTGAGTCGCTTGCATGGCGCGAAAAGTTGCTCTCTTCTCTGCAAGCGGCCGTCCTGTGTGACCATGGTATCAAGGCCGAGCCTTTCGCGTAGGCATCTTGCAATCTACAGTATTCTTGCGTTAAGATACTATGCCCACTTGCCGAGCAGCGACATGATTGCGGCGCCGAGCAGCACGCAGAAAGCCATGAAGCAAAGACGTTTGAAGTCTCTCCTCTTCTCAGGATCGAACAGGAAATCCCTCGCCAGAAGCTCGACCAGTCCGTTGTACAGAAGAATGCCTGCGCTGACGGCGTCGGCAACACCGCTTACAACAAGCTGTAATGAACGTCAGTGTTGAAGAACTTCATAGCATCATCCAAGGGAGATCACTCACGGCAGTCATTCCTCCGGAATTGTATGTTGTCCTGACCCCGAGACCAACAGCAATCGCGATGGGGGTTGTTAAACCATACGCCACACACAGAACCCATGGAAGCCAGTTTGTCAAGTCCTTTGGAAAAGGAATGGCAGACATGCGGGCGCCGATTCCGAGGCCCTCGAAAGACTGATGAAAGATGAGGACGGGATAGAGGATTTTCCACTCGTCGTCGGCCACCCCAAAATTGAGACCTGCCCGGACGGTCAGCATCACAACACACCACACTGGATAACGACGATTGACAAGCCGTACCGATGAAAACGGAATGAAGAATGATGCCAGCTTCCATGATAAAGAAGGCCATGAACTGCTGCCGAAAAGCAGTCCTGTTCAGCTCGTCTGAATCGGCGACAGAGACAGCGTCGCCCGCTCTCGTAACCTTCCTGTAATGGTTGCGGTCATCGTTACACTCGCAGTTGACTTCCTCGTCTTGCGTGCGCATGTGTGGAGCTCCGCCCGACGTGATTTCCTGGCAACGATAATTTCCTCGACGCTCGTCGCCGTCTCAAATCCATACTTCTGCCTGACATATTCCTGGCAGCTCACGTCTACAAGGAAGACAGCCATGCAAGAAGTCAGGAGGATTGCAGGGGTCCAGGAGTAGGCCGACCAAGCCCCCGGGGTCATGCCGACACAGGTATACGGACCGATTGAGCTGTACGCAGGATCAAGCCTGGAGGGAGGAGGGTAAGAAACCGATTGCGAGAAAGACGTTAGTGCAAGAGCGTTGACAACGTACAGATGAACGAACGCAGTAGCCACGATGACACCGGAACCGAAGTATCTTGCGAAGAGGTAGACGTAGCGCGGTATGCTGAGCCACCTTATGCGCTTCGCGAGGACCGGGAAGACTGTGGTAGCTGTAGACACAATCTAACGTGGTTCACTATTCAGTCCAATCTTCGTCGACAGCTGCAGAGCGCAGTCCGGCGTTGCTCTCACTCACAAGAATGACGAGCAAGGCCGATATGCGTCCCCTAAACCACCAGTGTATCCATTTTCTGACAGTTGCTCGTAGCAGGCAACATCTCGGGGACTCGCCGTGTCGAGGTCGACGTTGTGCGGGTCGAAACCTGGAGTGAACATAGCGGAACGTGTGTGATTGGTATAGGAAACAAATAGGACATGTCTGCGTTGAAGGACGACTTGATACCATTTTATACATGCAACCACTTGAATAAATTCTGTGTATACCTTGATGGCACACATAACACCCTAGTGGGCAACTACACACAGGGCAGGCGTTGCGGAAAGGGTTTGGCAGAACATCGGCATTATCATGAAGACCTACATGGGCGAAGACGGGGGCCACCGAAATTGTCGTAGGAAAACGTGACAAGCGAAAATCGTACCGTCTCGTTCCCTCAGAGAATCTGGAGCGAACTAGTCCAGAACAGAACTCGAGTCGAGCTGAAGTGAAGCTCAAATGATGCCATAACGAAGTCTAGCCAGACTGAGGATTAGGTGAAGTTCAAGTGCTTTGGATGGCCTCTGCGATATCTCAAGTCCTGCTCGCACCCCTTTGTTGCCTCACAATCGTGTTGGAAAGGACTTGCTAACGCTCGAGGAGGCATTTTGGTCAGGTTTGCTATAGAGGTCGCCAATCGCAAGCTTTGAACGGCATCAACGAGCGTTCCGTATACGAACGTGGATCTCTGCCATCTCAAGGCGATATCTCTGTTTGATCATACAAAACAATTTTTCAAGTGCCGGCAGGACCCAACGGATCTACTCCTACATCTTAGCTCCTTCGCATGACCCTGCTTCCGGCGAAGGATCTCGACTAGGCTGAGCAGCCCGGATCACCAGAATCATCTGGAAATGCCGTTGATGAAATCGTCTTGGGCGCAGAATCCATAAGGGCAAGCTTGAGCCATCGTCAGTCGATACGAACAGCACAGCCCGGTGGACTTTTGACATATAATCTGGGTGTCGATATCAGCCACACCAAGTAACGCACAGTCCTGGAGAGTGAGAGTCTCGCAGGAGCCGGGTAGTTTGGGGCTGGGCAGGTTCACGACAATGCCATCAGCGACGATCATGCTCCCCAGGCAACTGCGGTACTATAACTGAAGGTACTCGTCGGACTGGCCGATGATGCTGTTCCAAAAGCTGTCGGAACAGGGGAACATGTTCGTGTAGGAGTAGGGATAACCGTGGTCGTGAAGGTTGTGATGGAGGTCACAATGGTTGTTAATGTTGTGAGTGCGATGACTGTCGACGTACTTGTGGTCCTGATGACGGATGTGCTGGTGGTGGCGACGCTGACAGTGGAGGTTCGTGGTGTTTCGATGCGCGAGCACAGAGTGCTAACGAAGGCTGAAGCCTGCGCTTGGAGACTTGAAAGTACTGAAGCCATGGCATTGTTTGTCGGAGTGGGCTTCGCCGTCGTGGACGTGCGTACTTCTCCAAGATACGCCAGCCACAGACTTACCGCACAGAAATCGAGGACATGGAAGCACCGTGGTCAAGGTTGAGACACCAGACACAAAATGCATGCATTGAAAGATCCTCGAAGCAGGGCTGTCAATGGACGAACTGGACTGGATCGAGGCCTCAGAAAGTGAATCTAGTCCATGGATTAAGCGCCAAGATCATGGTATAGGTGCTAGTGTCAATGGAGTTAGAGTTTAGCGTAATCTTGTCCAAACTGATCTGACTGATCCGAGGAAATCGTGGCACCTCCGTGGGGATCTAATGTTGCGAGCCTATATCAACTTACTCTCGAACAACTACTACCATAATATTACTATAACTACACTTCGCTCCATGAATATCCGTGGATTACAGACCTACCGATCCATCCATCTATGGATTTAAAAATGGGCTAATTCAACTAGTCCAAGGATGGATTATCCATGGACTGGATTTTTCAATCCATCCATTGACAGCCCTGCAGGCTCGAAGGCGACTTCAGGAGGTACCGCCTGGATTCCAGGCAGCCTAGATCCAGTTCAGTCCATCCATTAGCAACCCTAGCATAGAAGGTCGAAGACTTACGGGGTATGTATCAGGTATCTGTTGTGGCTGGCTGGTGGTGGTGGTGGTGGTGCGACATTTCGCTAACGACGAACTCAATCTGTGGCAAGGTTTTGCCAATGTGACCGATAAGCGAGCGCTTCCAGGCAAGAATGCTTCGCCGCCGTCGAGAGACAGCAAGCAAAGGCCGGCCTTATCGAGACGGTCGGACTCGCCACCCCGCTATGTGAAATGCTGTTAATCCATTGCTGCCCCGCGTGCTTAGTAGGGCCAGTATATTCCTAGAAAAGATCGCATGGATCGATAGATGCTAAGGATAGTGGGCATTGTGGCCGCAGTCGGCTGAGGATGTACCTGCTGCATCTGTTAGCTTTGGCGGTCGTAGTGCGGTTGACTTTTTCGCAAGCACCGTAGCTTGCAGGTGATTCGGACAGCACATAGGGCCGCACGTGGACGAGACGCACAGACGTTAGTGCAGGACTGAGTTGGCTCCCGCCTCTTGGTTAATCTCAGATAGATTTCCAGAACGAGAATAGGGTAGTCAAGGATGTAAGCAATAAGGAGTTCACCGTGAAGGACGCCTCGTTAGGCGCGTGTGCAAGAAGCTTTTATGCCCTTACGCCCAGGCAGCTCGAGCGGCGCCTTGCATGGGTGATGAGGGTTTTGATCGCGGAGCCAGACGCATATGTAACAAGAGAGTAGACTAGCGGAAAAAGCAGCGCCCTCGGCGCTGCCGCCGCTATATCACAAGGTTCGTATAACTTCCAACCTTCCCTTACCATCATGGTGAGGCGAAGAAAACGATTCGAAGCGTTAGAGTGCTCATGCATGTATGCAAAACTCAACGATCATAAGAGTCAGGCTGGAAAAAAGTAAATGTTGATGAGGGTGGGATTCGAACCCACGCGGTTGCCCACTGCGGATTATTGTTCAGGAGAACCTAAACGCAGCGCCATAACCACTCGGCCACCTCACCACGTGACTAACAATATGTACCATTGGTAATATATGTAGACAACAATGCACGAAGAAAAGAGATCCAGTGCCGTAACCGGATCTAGGTCCGTGGCAGGAGAACACTCGTAAAAGTTGCGGGGCGTGATGGAAGCTGCGGCCATTCAGTTACTACTCGCGACAATTCGGGCATCCGTCCCATGGTCATGGAACATGTACAGTAGATGAAGTGAATATGTTGGGTGGAACCAACCTATGCGCGACGCAAGGTGCGGGCGAGACGGACAAACGTTCTAAAGACTCTTGTTCTACACTATGAGAGGACCATGGAGACCTCAAACAAGTGTCAGGCCAAACAGGATGACGATCACCCTGGGGACCAGACTCATACCAGGAGAGTGCGACCAAGAACGTTGACATCCGCTGCCACGCGTTCACGCGCTCCGCAAGCCCACCATGTAGACTGCCAAATCAGTCCTGAGAGGGTGCAACTAAGAAGCTTGGCTGCAATCACACCGGAGAGCCAGAGCGTGTCACCAGCCAACGGCGCCGCTGGCCTACATGATCCGCCAGAGGCACAGGCCAACTTGGAGAAGAAGACTCACGACGACGATGTCACCTTCATCAATTCTAGGACTACTCCACAGAATCTCGTCTCTTTCTTCTCGGTCAACAAAGTACATCTGCTCGCACGGTATCTCAACAAGCCGAAGACACACAAGGTCCACTTCTATCTTCCGATCTGCTTCGCTGTCTCACCCCTCTTCTCTATCCATCTCATCCCGACCCCTTCCCTTCCCTTTCCTCCCCTTTGGCCCTCTCTTCTCATGCAAATCCTTCATTTCCCTAACAGCGACCCTCTGCGCCTCACCCACCCTCTCCGCAAAAGCTACTCTATTCGTTAAAGACTGCGGATAGAAAACATTGATTTCGGACACTTACCCATGACCTCGTCTCTTGGTGCGTTGTATTCATCCAACTTCTTCCCCAACGCACGCTCAATCCTTTGATACACCTCGACATCTGCGGGACTTGTTAGCGAAGACGCACTAGCAAGAGTGAACAGCAACGACTTACCGTACTGCGTGACCACACTCACGGCTTTCCCGCTCTTGCCCGCACGCGCGGTGCGTCCGACTCTGTGCACATATGTCTTGGAGTCCCTGGCACTTGCGTCAATACCGCCGTGGAAACGGAGATGAGCGAGCTTCCGCACGTGTGAACTTACGGTGGCAGATCGAAATTGAGCACGAGGTCCACGGAGGGGATGTCGAGCCCGCGAGCTGCGACGTCGGTCGCGACGAGGATGCTGCGGCTTCCGGAGCGGAACTTGGCGAGCGCCCCTAGCCGTTGAGACTGAGACAGTTGTCCGTGAATCTTGTCTGGTTAGTACGTTTGTCTCATCGCCTGGTTATATGTATACGCACTGGTATAGCACCAAAACCGAGGGCGCGTAGCAGGAACGCTAACCGCTGAGCTTCATTCACGGTACGTGTGAACAATATTGTGGATTGGCCGGCATGCTCATTCAGTAAGTAGACCAGATAAATGTCTTTATACTTATGTGGGACGCTTTGACTATTAGCGCATTCTAGAAGGATTACTATGAGTGTTAGCTTACAAGAGGTAGGTCTGGAGCAGCGTAGACACGGTTTGGTAACTTGAGGAGGAGATGGAGACGCGAAGCTTTAGTAAAGTCAGTATTCGTCGGTGGATTCATGGCTGATTATTTAAACACACTGGATTTGACAGGGATGCGCGTTGCAAAGACTCGACTTTGGAGGACATGGTCGCGCTAAAGAGGTACGTGTGTCGTTCACGTGGGAGTACTTTGAGAATTTTGTCCAGGATGGGACCGAAGTCAAGATCCAACAGACGATCCGCCTGCAAATGTCTGTTAGCACTGTTGACGCTGTGAACTCTCACACCTTACTTCATCCATGACCAGGTACTTGAGCCCGCGTAATGAGAAACCCTTGGTGTTTTCCAGATGGTCGAGCAGACGTCCAGGTGTCGCCACAATCTACGTAATCATTAAGGTCAGGCTCTCTGTATAGTCTAAAGAAATCCTGTATTAGGTCACTCACGATATGCGGCTTCTTTCCGAGGGCGATGGCTTGTGGGACCATGTCCATGCCTGGGAGGTGTCAGAATATTATCAGGATTTTTGTATAGCTCATGCATGTGTTAGGTGCTGGTGTTGTCAAACAGACCGTCCAGCACGTAGAGACCTTCTGAGAAGGCGGCCCATAAAGGGGCAGTCTGCTAGACGGAGATCTGGTTGGTGCCCAGAACAAATGTCCAATGCTTGCATTTCGGCAAGCACTCGACGTACACCGCCGGCAGCCTGTTGACAACACCGGCGTGTGATAACAATCTCTCAGATACTACGTACCACCTACTATGACGGCTGATCGCACGTTAATGAGCGAACCGAGCGCCTCGAACTGCTGAGAGATCTGGTCTAGTCGGGTTGTTAGCGAACAATCGTTGATGTCAACGATGAAACGATGCCTACATGCGAGCTCGCGCGTAGGAGCCAAAACCAATCCGAACAGAGACGAAGGCTTCTCCATTAAGGCCTGTAGTATGGGGAGCGCAAAAGCAGCCGTTTTACCACTCCCCGTTTCTGCAAGACCGATCAGGTCGCGCCCTTGAAGCGCGAGGGGATCGATTCAGTTTGAATGGGCGTAGGATGCTTGTATCCGAGTGCAGTACATGCATCGCAGAGCTCGCTGATGATTCCCAAGTCGGCGAACGTCTTCTGAGGTTTGCCGTCCGTTACTGGCACATCCGTATGGTCTTCCTCAGCTCCACCTGCTCCGTCTTCTCCATCTGCCTCGTCTTCACTGGCCAACGCTCCCTTTGTCTCTGCTCTTGCTTTCTTGACCTCGGGTTCTGGTGGGAAAGCATCCTTTTCCAACTTTCGCTTCTTCTTTGCGGCGATAGCTGGCAGCTCGTCCGGTAGTGGCTCGTCGGCTACCGTGTCGTCGATCCTGTCCAGGACCTTTTTCGACGGTTTTGTTTGCGGCAATTCCGTGAGAAGGATGAGCGCTCGTGCTTCAACTTGCGCTTCTTCAGGGCGGACATGACAGGAGTTGGTGTAGTTGGTTCGACAATCGTCGCGGTCGCGAAACTCTCGCCTCTAGAATTATTCTAAAGAACGCTTCTCGGTTGACTGATCCGAAGCAGCAAAAACCGGGGAGGGAATCTTATCTTGCAGCGGATCTTCACTAGCGTAGAATATTCGGATTCCAAGTCAACTTTCCGCTCGAAACTCTGCGCATACCCGCAATTTTCCACAAGAACATACAACCCCAAGAATGGCCAGGAGACGAGTAAAGAAGCGCACTCATGTCGGCGCAAAGGCAAGGAACCGCTCCCGGGCAGCGGTCCAGCAAAGCCCGGCGACAGGTCACCGAAGAGCATGGTCATCCGTATTGGCGCCGGTGAAGTAGGACCAAGCGTGTCGCAACTGGTGAAAGATGTTCGAAGTATGATGGAGCCAGGCACAGCGAGCAGGTTAAAAGAGCGGCGATCGAACAAGCTTAGGGATTATACAACTATGGCTGGACCACTCGGTGTCACGCATCTCATGCTCTTCTCACGATCCGAATCTGGAAACACGAACATGCGCCTTGCCGTAACACCGAGGGGGCCAACGCTGCATTTCCGGGTGGATAAGTACTCTCTTTGCAAGGACGTCAATAAGAGCATGAAGAGACCAAAGCTGAACGCTGGCGCCGAACATCTTACTCCTCCTCTTGTAAGAAGCAGCAGTTCTCCTCTCGTTGCCTCGCTAACCCAATGCACAGCTCGTCATGAACAATTTTAGCACAGCGCAAGCGCAACAGGAAAAGAGTGAAGGATCCCACATCCCCAAACAACTCGAGTCGCTCGCAACAACCGTGTTTCAGTCTCTTTTCCCGCCCATATCGCCGCAAACCACCTCTCTCAAAACCATCAAGCGCGTTCTTCTCCTCGATCGCGTGAAGGCCTCTTCCTTGGACAACGGCTCACATCCCTTTACCCTGCAGCTCCGACACTACGCTATCACAGCCACAACACCCAAATCCGCGCTTCCAAAAGCCTTGCGCAGGCTCGAGGCCGCGTCGCATCTCACCCACGGACAGAAGCGCGCACTCCCAAATCTGGGCCGATTGGACGACGTAGCGGACTACTTGCTGGATCCAACCGCGGCAGCGGGCTTTACATCTGCAAGCGAGAGCGAAGCAGACACGGACGCCGAAGTCGAGGTTCTAGCGACAGAGTCACGACGCATACAATCGAAGGAGGAGCGCCAGCGTCAGCGCGACGCGCAGCGCGCCAAACTCAGTGGCGAGGCGGCACGAGACAAGCCCACCGTTAGTAAAGAGAAGGAGAGCGGCAGCAGGGTGCAGAAGAAGGCCATCAAGTTAACAGAATTGGGGCCGCGGATGACGTTGAGGTTGACAAAAGTCGAGGAGGGTCTGTGTGGTGGAAAGGTGCTGTGGCACGAGTACATACAGAAGAGCAAGGCAGAGGAGAAGGAGTTGGATGCGAAGTGGGAGGTCAGGAAGAAAGAGAAGGAGGAGAGGAGGAGGATTCAAAAGGAGAACGTGGAGAGGAAGAGGAAAGAGAGGGGTGGAAAGGGTGAAGGTGAGGGGGACGAAGATGAAGAGATGGAGGATTACGATGAAGACGACGATGTTTGGGACAGCGAGGGCTTTGAAGATGATGATGATGAACAGGATGTGGTCGAGGGAGGTGCGGTAGAGCGCGACGAGGGAGATGAGGAGGACGAAGGTGAGGAAATGGGCTGAAGCCACGGTCTGCAAGTTTTGCATACTACTCTGTGTATACCCCGTCGTATGCTGTATGTTGATAGTACAGGCAAACACAACGAGCATGAAACAGAACTCACACGGCCTATGTAATACCAGAAGCAGTGACTCCTTGTCCCGAGTGGTATCGAGTAGAATATAGTGGTTTGCATGTGAAAGTCAATCTTATCTTATCAGCCCAACTGTCTCCCATCTTATC